CTCGCGAAAAGAAACTTCAATTCTTATCTTCAATTCAATTATTTCTTTTTCTAACTTTCCATCCATTCTGTATCGCAGTTTTCAACTTTGTGAGTTTGTCTATTCGACATATCTTTTTCTCACAATGGTGGACAAAAATTCGCCCAACTCAGAGCTTCGATGAAAAAAAAATATGTTTAGGAAATCGACGGAGGCTTGCGTCAAAATGTTTTCTTTTATCTAAAGATATCATAAAATTTTGCAAGTTTTTGAAATTATCAGAATATGTGTGCACCCAAAGTTACACTTGAAACTTTTGAACCATCCCTCTTTTCTGCAGAATATTTGCTCAGGAAATGCGACCCTGGCCAGAGTATTTCGATCGTATTTTCCTGTGAAAGCCGGAGTTATTTGATGCGCAAGAGAAAGAAAACTTTCTTCCTCCACGAAAACATCATGAGCAAATAAAAACATACAGGGGGGAAACGAGGATAAATCTAGATCCTTTTATGAGTAAAATGTTAAGAATTTTCCGTCAGATAACAGATCATTCTTCTTTCCCACATTGCTGCTGTTGGAAGTCAGTAAACTTTTCATTTTGACTGTTTTTTTTTTAATTGACGGATCGCGTTTTGAGTCCAGTTTGTATATATTCCAGGTACAAATTTTCAAAGCAGGAATGACACAGATTTAAGATTTTTTTTCTGCTTTTCAGCCTTCACAAAGTTCGAGCAATGTTCCTACATCCAAACCACATCCCTTACCCACCCATATTCATCCAAACACAGTCCATATCACATCAGAATGGAAAATAGAGAAATAAACTGTATATGAATATTAAGAAAAATGCATCCGAAGAAGTACAGCTGCACACCTCTTGTAATGGCTTACACTTTCTTCCCCTCCCAATTTACAAAAATTAAAATATTAGCAATAAAAATTTCAGCGTAATGCAATTACTAAAAATATATTAAAGCACCAGGTGTTCAGTCTGCTCCCAAATGAGTTCCAGTTGATTAAAATATTTGGAGAGTGTCACCATACAGGTGAACCTTGATAAGTCGAACCTCTGTAAGTTGAATTCCTCCCTAAGTTGAATTCTTTTCAAGTCCCTGTCCAAATTCCCTTAAAATCTATACATTAAAAACCTCCCTAACTCAACTTCTTTTTTCCTAAAACCTCTGTAAGTCGAATTTTCTGAGGCCTTCTGGTTATTATTTCTGTGAAATATGAGAGAGAAAATGATTAAAACAAATAATTTGATGCATCTTGGAAGGAATTGAAAGAAATATATAGCAAATGAACCCCTGTATCCAAGTTCAGCACAGTAAAAACTCATCAAGAGGCAAGTTTACGCCCAGAATCTCCTCATTTACGATTTCCTGCAATTTTTTTTTACTAATCCTCACAGCAAGAATTATTTTTCCCTCATTAAAAACCTGCAAAAATCAAAACCTCCTTAAATCAAATTTTTTTCCTGGTCCCTAGAAATTTGACTTACAGAGGTTCAACTGTATCTTTATACAGTATTTATGTCCTGACATAAGTCCTTAATACTGCCTTATTTTCTGATTAATGTTCTCGAACGTCAAGTGAAAGTCTTGCCTAGCAACTTGCTGCTCCAAAGCAAAAAAGGTAATATGTGTAACTTGGTTAGCAGTCATTCCTCCATCCTCTTTTGGAGTCCTCATTTTACTTTGTTGCACAGGCATGTCTGGACTCCCTGAACCTATAAAGTGTTGTGATATAAGTGTACAGGTATTCATTGTTGGTCTGGCATTTGCTGTATGCACAATGAAATATATTATCACACTCTAAAACAAGAAGTCATATTCACTCATTACAATCCCGGCCATAAGAACTAAATCTTCTCAACATAACGTTAATTGTCCTTAGGAATTTAAAACTTTAAAAATAATTGGTCTTTGTGGAAAGACATTTCTGCAATAGCAAAAGTTTCTTTGGTTCAAATCTTCGCAATTTAGGATAACAAGAGAATAATGATAATTATAATAAAGCAATTATTTTGTGTCCTTTTTTCAGGTTTACAGGGTCTATGCCTACTACTACATAGTGGAATCAAGGACATGGTACCCGAATTTATGGCGTGTTGTGAACCTGATCCACGTGCTTTTGCTTTTGGCCCACTGGTTCGGCTGTTTTTACTACATGCTCTCGGAATATGAAGATTTTCACGGGGAATGGGTGTATCCGAACCCTCGTGGTGCCTTTGGTACCCTAACCCGAAAATACCTGGCTTCCATGTACTGGAGCACCTTGACTCTGACGACCATCGGCGACCTTCCCACTCCGGAAACAAATCGACAGTGAGTTATTTCTCTTTCATATTAGTGTACTGTTTATAAATTTACTGCTGTCGTTTGTATATTTCAATTTTAAAAATTATTATTCACTTTAACCTTTCATAACAAAATTTTCCATGGATCGAAAATATTGCACTTATTGATCATGTTCATGAATGAGCTCCGCTATTTCGGGTTTCCAAGGATGAAAAAAAGTCATAAACAAGCCAGAATTCATTTGAGAAGCTTTGAGGTTCATTTTTATCATGTCTACTCAAATTTTCCTGTGTAAAATATTTTTGGCTCAGTTTCAGCTAGTGTCCATATTCCCGTGAAAGAAATTGAAACTGATGATCGCAAGAGTCAGTAAAATAAATTCGTGCGGTTTTTTCAAACTTTGTTCAAAACAGGATGACGAGAAAATGATTCCTGTATAAAAAAGGTGTCATTATCCCAGGTTTAATATTAAAAAAGATCAATGTATCTTCCGTTGCGCACATTCAAAAATCATACGCTAAAAAATTTCGATGAGCCATTAAAAATTGGTTGATATTTAACACATTAAAAAGTGCAAAACTTTTGCCCACTGCTTAAAAGACAGTTTCTGGAATTCTGGGTATACGAATTTCCTGCTGTGCCATTAAACTCACGTTATTGGAAACTCATTCCAGCTTTTCCAAATAAATTGCTTTTTGGAAGAAAACAAATAGGAAGGATAAATGGTTTCATGTTGCACGCCTGGAATTCGAGAATAGGGCTTCGGAAGGACGATTTCCCGCCGTAATTATTCCCAGTATAAGGAGAGAAACGATTTGTCATCAGCTGGAAATGGGGTAAATCTCTCCCAAAATCTTGTTTTCCTTCCCACTAAAAAAAATAAAGAAATCTACGATTAAATCCCCCAGAAAGAAATAAAAAAGAAAACGAGTAACGAATGTAAGCGGGAAGAGAAAACGTACGAGGGTTGGTTCATAAGTTCTCAGAGTTTTTGAAAAAGATCCGAAAGAGTTTCAACTATTCCAATTTCTTTTTTTTTTTTACTCGCATCGCCTCGTCATTTGACAACAGCTCAGTGCTTTTCAACATACTTTTCGCTGATTTCAATGCATTTCTCATGCAATAAATTAAACGATTCGAGTTCTGTTTCAGAGTAGGCACCCTGTGACTTCTGGCTGCTTCACACAGTGAATAGTGCTTGAAGGAATTGCATTTAAAGCCAGGGTTCAGCATCATTTCAGCCATCAAAGAGAATCTCAATGAAACTCGATTTTTGACACTTCTTCATTTGATTTATTCCGTGAAAATTGGATTGAAATCAGCGGAAAGTATGTTGAACAGCATTGAAGTGTTGCCAAATGAAAGGGGCTATCGGAATTGTTGAAAATCCACGGGGTCTATTTTTAAAAGTATAANTTGTGCCTACAAATACCGTAAAATCTTGTTAATACGGAGCAATTGGGACCAGCAAAATTGTTTTGTTCAAAAAATTGTTATACTGTAACATAACTAATGTAACATTGTTGCTATTGGACAGGGAACTTAGAAAGTGACTTCCTTGTAAACGAATATTCGTTATTAAGAGATTCATTATTGTCAAGAGATTCTACAGATACACTGAGTCAATGACAATGACAAACATGTCCTTTGAGAGAAGTTCAAGAGAACATTTTTGTAAAATTGGCTGTTCGTTAAGAAAACTTATAGTTTTATGCTATCAGAAGATCTTGTGCTCTCACTATATTTAACAGCCACATATGCTCTCTCTGTTGAAATGCTATCTGTGAGGGTAAATGTTCCACTCTCAACCATTGTTCTGAGGCAATGAAAAGGAATGGAATCATCCATTTTGTCTGCAATTGGGCGCTGGTGTGATGAGAGGATCACTGGGTGGCAGCTGGGCTTAATTGCTTACATTCCTGCGCAGAATTCCCATGTCATTAATCATATGTGAACATATCCCCAATGGATGGTACATAAGTTCTGCCAAATTGGATGGGGGTGGTTCATAAGTTTTGAGACTTTTTGAATGTCCAATGGAATTTCAACAATTTTTTTCTTACTTGCATAATCTCATGATTGGCCAGACTTCAGTACTGTTCATTATATTCTCCCCCAATTGCAATGTATTTTCATCATGCAATAAACCCAATGATCAGTGCCAACTATAGCCAAAATTGATGATTGTAATAGTTGATCAAGCTGCTCCTTTATGGCAGAAATGAGACTGTCCTCAGGAGCAATCCTTTTCAGTTCATTCTTCAGTGTTGGGATCAGCCAGAAGTCAAAGGGTGCCTATAATCAACTAACAGAATTCAATTTCTGGCACTGTTTTGATTGTTGGATTTATTGAGCAAAAAAATTCATTCAAATTTGCAGAGAGTACATTGAACCGCACTGAAGTCTAGCCAATACAGATGATGCCATGAAATTTGACCAGCTCTTGTAATTTGACCATCACACAATTTTGCAGTTTAATTTGCTTGGAGGTTGATTTACAATTTCACCCATCTCCTGAAATGCCATGTGTTTTAGCATCTTTTCTAGTGCTTTTGTGCTGTTTGCCTGTNTAGAAAATACTGTATTGTTCAAGTAAAAATTAATTCCTGGCAGTCTTGGAAGAAAATCTGAAGCATAAACTCTATTCTCTTCCTCTCTCTCTCTCTCTCTCTCACTCTCTCCCTCTCTCTCTCTCTCTTCTTTAGCCCAACTGAGGGTTATCAAATATTGAAACAAACATTAGGGAGGGATATTTATCTGAAGAAGTCACGTCCATGGTCATCCACCCATTAATATTCCCAATAACAGCAACAAAAACTGACTCAGTAAACACTTATGAACTAATACAGGTGGACTCCATCTACAGATTGAAGATTTTCTTTTTAACGAATATTGTCCCAGTCCCACATGGTTTCTCTCCCCATGTTACAGGGGTTCTCAGCAACGAAATTATCTCTACAAAGAGAGTTTTTTTTTCTGGTGCTTTAAATTAAAATTTCTTTGAATTTGAGCAGAAAAGAAGTGTGGACTCTACAAAGAAATTCTCTTTACAGCGAATGTTTTTTACTGGTCTCTTGAATTTCGTTGTAGAGTTCATCCACCTGTATCACATATTTTTTTGTTTTACGACATGAAATAGAACGAAAGTCTCTGTACAACGAATGCAGATGTGGGACTGTCAGTAAAGTTTTGTTGCAATTCAGGAAAATTCGGCTGAATTTCGTTGAGTACCGCAGAAAATATGTGATACAGGTAGACTTGACAACGAAATTCAAGGAACTGTACCAGAAAAAAAACCTTCGTTGTTCGTGAAGATAATTTCTTCGTGGAGTCCAACTGTATCAAATATTTTCAGCTCGAAATACTAGCCCTTCTGCATGACATTACGATAGCCCCAAGAGGCCAGAGGATATGAGCACATCTCGCACTACTTGAAAGCTTCCAGCCAAGCCATCGATTCTTTATTTTCTCACTGAATCACGAACATTTACTTTCATTTTTATTCTGTTTTTTGTTGTTGTTCTGAATGCCTGTCATCTTCTTCTTTGGTTGCTGCCGCGGAATGGTGCTTTATATTTGTATGGTCAGTCGGTTGATGTACGGCACCACCACAGCCAGGACTAGTAATTATGACTCATCCCTGGCGGACGCCATGAATGCGACGATGATGAGCGCCATCCCCGACGAGGCTGTCGATTTCCTGCTGGTCGGGTCCAGCACCCAAGTGCCATTCCTGGGTGGCCAGAAGAAGCGTTTGCGACGCTCGCGACTCTTGCAGTTCGCCACCAACTCGGGGTACTTTTGCACCCTGTTGCGCCATTTGGTGTCCATCCCGAGAAACTGACCTGTTCCAAACAAAACAAACAACGAAGTAATTGAATAAAATTTTGAAGTACGTGACAGTACATTATAATGAAATGCAAATTTTGATACAACTGAACCTCCAGGTACTAGTAGAAAAAATGTATCATTGACTTTTTGAAACGTGGATTAATGTCAAAAAGTTGTTTTTGGAACTCTGTTTAAAAAACGGATTTTACGGTTGTGTATCAGAATAGTTTCAAGCAAATTTGTGAAGTGTTTTTTTTAGCCTGTTAATAATTTTGAAAACGAATATATTTCACTCACAAGTCACAACACAAATACTGTATATAGGTTTTGTAGTACAGTACTGTACTTCTAAGTGAAGTACTGTATTTACTTGAGTACCATGCGCACCTTTTTTCCTGAATTTCAGAAGAAAAAAAAGGGGTGTGCGTCAAAAGCAGGTACAAGAAGTTTTAGGAGGTTATGTGTGCATTTTACTTAATTATAATGGAAAAGTTTTGAACAAATATAACAATAAACGTTTTTGTACTGAAAAAGTTGAAAATTGATCAGATTTTTGTTCAATTCATGCCTGAAGTCAATTTTTTTGGTTTTATTTTTGAAATTTTATGGTTTTAGATTCACTAAAAATTGGGGTGCACATTTTACTTGGGGATAAGATTTTTGCAAAATTTTAAACTGAAAAACCCCTGTGCGCGCCTTACTCAAGGGCACTTGGTACTCAATTAAATACAGTAATATATTATAAGCACTTAATGTTTTTAATGTATGTTGATGAAAACACAGGAGAATTACGTCAATCAAAGCAAAGCCATGTAAACCAGTACCATATAGGGAACAAAACATCATGAACAATGTTGTTGTGAGACTCAGTTCAGAACTTACGTAAATATTCACCAGGAGATGAAATTACTGATGATTCCCCTTGGCTTGGCCCTGGTTCCCTCATGTTGGCAGTTGGCAGGGGTTTCCAGTACTGTGTGTAGCTGGTTTTGCCTTTGGCTATAGCCAGTGTGGGCCTGGGTTTTATCTGATACTGAACTGTACATTCACTCTATTCAACTGTTCACTTCAGCAACTTTATCCTCAAATGAGAAAAGCAAGTAAAGATCTGGCTAGAATGTTGATGACTCTTTTTTGAAGCTCACTTCCTGCTGAAAAATAAAATTCAAATCACCAAATTTAAGAGAAAATTTATCAAAATTATTAGTTCAATTAAAATGAGAAGTAAAATTTTCTGGATGAGGAGCAAACTAATCAACTCAGCACAACAACTGAAAAAGTTTGAAATCTGATGAATGAACAAACAAACAAAACTTGATGGAACAGGATTCAGTGGGTTGGACAACCTGTATGGGCAACATATCATAATTCCTTGAAACAACAGCAACCCCATATAGTCCAGCATTGCACTTGGTTCTGTATGTATTGTATTGCATGTTAGGAAAAATCAGGTTTTTGCTCCATTCAAAGACCATTTCCCAGGGGAAATTTCGCATTTGTGAGTTATTGCTCAATATCGTCAGCGTTCAAATTTATTCGCATACTTTCCAGTGATAAGATTGGATTGCAGCGTGATAAGCTCATTCAAAAAGCAAGAAAAACATGAAAATTCGACTAAAATTTCATAATCATTCATGGAAGTGAAGAGTTTCTGTGCTCTTGGCAAAATTTCAATACTAATTTTGCTGAAAAGCTGATCAGGAAGAAGAAAGTAATTTAATTTCATCAAGAAATGCTGTTCATCCCATCAGCAAACAGAGTACTAAGGTTCATACCCTGAAATCTGATGACTGGTGGATATTAGACTTGGTTAAATAATTTACTGATTAAATTAAAAGCATACATTTTATGCGGTTGCAAAGGTGGACGAAAAAGGGAAGTTGAATGACGACTGACTTTTTTTACTTTTCAACGTTGAGGAAATTGTGGGTATGAAAAATTAATTTTTCAGGAAATTCGTAAAAGATGTTTTCTCGAAGTTCGAGAAGAAATTGTAAGATATAAAAGATTTCGGTCTGAGTCTGACAATTTATATTCTCCTCTGGAAATTTAAAAATTATTCAAACTCCCATTCTGTAGCTGATTCCATGATTTTTGAGATGATGTAATGGATAAATATGTTAAGTATTCAATGTTTATTCCTCTTGATTCGCGATCTAAACCATCATAAATCCCGTGTTAAATTCGCAGAGGCTTGATTTTAATGTCTTTTTTTTAGTTTGCTTCCAAACGTCAGTGTTTTATTTTTAAGCTCCGCGTTTTCGTTCTGACACTTTTTCCCGAGAAAAACAAACCCCCTTTTTTGAATTTTCGATAAAAAGGAAAGATGGTCTCATCTCATCTACTTGTTGGAAGAATGTCCAGCAATGGATGATGTTTGTGGAAAAAACCGCACTTGGGTTTCTTCCAACAGGTGTTTTATGTTTCGATGTTTTAGACTGAGGCGAGTATTATTCGAAAGCTTGTGTCGTGGAATTGTGTTTTTAGTCAGTCACTCATCGTTGAAGCCTGTCTGCTTGCCTCCCGCAGCTTTTTTTCCCCCCAAAAGAAAGAAAAAATTCCAAAAAATACTTCAGGCAAGGAAATCAGTTGATATATATACCGGGAACTAAAACTCACTCCTTTAAATTCCCTGTGGATATCTTTGTTGTTTGTTTTTTTTTCAACAAACAGCACCTTTCGAATGTCGAATGCGTAGAGCCGAGAAAAAAAAAAGTTGTTTTGTGTATCGTGGCTTTTATGTGTGCTGATGGAAAGCGTCAGACCCTCGGGAACTGCAGACAGGTTTCAAGAAAAGAAAAAAAAAACTCGTTCATTTTTTTCGAAACACATTTCGTTTCGTCTGATTTTCGTTCAAGACTTGAATAAAATGAGAAATATATTGGTGGGCGGGAAAAACGAGGATATTGACAGCTCCGCGGGGACCTGGCGCTCTTCAGAAAAAGTACCCAGCATTTCCTGTATTTTTCGAAGTATACTTTTTGTTCGTTGCATGCTGAACGTTTCGGTGCCAAATTTATGCAATTTTATTTCCGAAAAATGTTTTCCTGTGCAGGTACTTGTTTACAATCGTCAGCTACATGATCGGGGTATTCATTTTCGCCACGATTGTCGGTGAGTTTTTCCTATGTGATCTTGAATTGGAAAGAATGTGGTGTAATTTATTGACTTGGTGCGACACCTAGGTCAAGTTGGGAATGTGATCACGAACAGAAACGCCAACCGGTTGGAGTTCGAACGACTTCTGGTGAGCAACATGGTTTTTTTAAATGTTTAATTCACAAAATGTACTCTTTTTTGTTGTGACAAATGACATTTTGAAATTTTGAAGAAACTTGACGTGTCTATTTTTCCGTAAACTATTTTCGAAGTTCGGCATGGATTCACACAGAATTCAACCTGTTCGAATATTTTCAATTCCGAAGTTGGGTTATGTTGTTAAACATGATTTAAAATTTTGCTGGCGCTTATTTATAATTTTTCCCTTGTAATAATTTCACGTGAAGTTTAGCCTTCGAGTATGTGAAAGAGAAATTTTTTTTTTATCCCGAAAGATTATCTTTGAAGAGTAGCTCGTAGAAGGTTTTCCTGCAGCAAATTTTGAGTGTCATTTTTATTGTGAAAAATTGAAAAGTACGTGAACATTTTCTCTTTAAAAACAATTTTTGCAGGACAGCGCAAAACTGTATATGAGACACCACAAAGTTCCTAGAGATATGCAGAGGAGAGTCCAACGTTGGTATGATTATTCCTGGTCGAGGTAAGAAAATAAGAACCACTTTCAGCGTGGAAGTTTCATTTTTTGCCTTTTCCAGGGGTCGACTTCAAGGCGGGGGTGACATAAATACTGCCCTGGGGATTTTGCCCGACAAACTGAAAACTGAGCTTGCCTTGCATGTGAACTTGAACACGCTGAAAAAGGTTCGTGCGTATTTTTTTGTGTAAAATTATTGTGACGTTGATTATTACTCAAGTAATGCCGCGCAAATTTCACCTACGAAAGGGTCCAATCAAGAAATTTCGCGTTTTATTTGTATTGAGTGACAGCCAAAAAATTTAATCACTATATTCTTAAATTATATTCGTATACATGAACATGAATGGTCGTACTCAAATTTGAGGATCTTCAATTTGATACAGTATTTATTTATATTGGATTCCAAAAAAAAAACTCTCTATCGCAGAGGGTGACCATGAAATGAATTACAGTATAAGAAATATTTCACTTTTTAAATGCGGAGTACTGTAAAATTTATAGAGTCTCCTTCAACTTCAAGAGGAAATAAAATAATCGAGAAAAACCCGAATTCAGTTGCAGATAGAGTAGAAAGGTTTTTATAAACAATTTTCAAGAAATTGTGTCTCCACATATTTTTGAAATAAACGCTTATTGGTAGAGATTTCAATTTTTTAAGCTTTCTTCAATTTTATAATTGCAAGAGAAATTAGACTTGAGGGGCACCGGTCACAGAATTTTCTTTTAACTAAGGTTCAATAGTGGAAAAATTTACTGTAGGAAAAGAGTTCCTAATAAATTTCAAATATTGAATGCCTCTGAAATCATTTATTTAGCCAAATTGCTGACGAATTTATTGCAAAGCAAACATTTCCAAACCATACTTGAACCTAACTAAGTATTCCAAAATTTTTCTTCGTTAATTATGCACAGAGCAGATAATTCATTAGACTGGGTCTCAAATATTGATTGACTCTCAGCTGCCCCAACGCTCATTTGAGTGGCGCTCGATTGTACTTGACGCTCACTTGACCCATCACCAAAAATTCCTTTCATTATTCTTTCTTCAATATCTCCTGGTCCTGTATTTCTCATTGCTGTGGTTCAGGTGACGATATTCCAAGAATGCCAGCCCGAGTTTTTGCACGACCTAGTGCTGAAAATGAAGGCGTACATTTTCACACCCGGGGATTTGATTTGTCGCAAAGGAGAAGTCGCCAGGGAAATGTTCATCATCGCCGACGGCATCCTGGAGGTCATTAGGTGAGAGCGTCAATCTGCATGGGGATTTTTTTGCACGCAATATTTCCATTTTACCGGGACGGACTCGGCAATCCATCAACAGTGCATTAGGAAAAATGGCAAAACTGTGCATGGTATAGAAATCGGCAAAAGTACGTCATTAATAGAAAGAGAAAAGTATAGAGTTTATATCTGTTTCTGTTGGGGGGAAAATGAAAAAATCGCTAATGTGGAATTTTAAATCACATTATTCGAGGAGTTCTTTATTATTATTAAATTAATGTGGTAGTACCTTGTACATTTAAATGCAGTATTTCAAAAGTGATTTTCTGGGTACAAAATAAAATCTACTGATCATGAATGAATGAATGAACAGAACACATTATTTGCCGCTTTTCAGCATTTTACAAGGTTCAATCAAGATTTCCACATCCAAACCTCCCTTCCCACCCAACTTAAATCCACTCAAAGACATTTAATCACTTCAGAGCAGGAAACAGAGCACAAATTGATAACAAAATATAAGAAGATACAATCCACGAAATACAACTGGACATCTGACATGTATGCATACACCCATTCATTCCCTGACATTGGAAACAAAAGATATGTAAAAATGAACTTAAAGCACAAGGTCTTCAGCTTGTTTCTGTATGAGGTTTAGTTGAATGAACAAATCAGAGATAATCTTTGATGAGAAATCATATATAAGGCCAACAGTTTATCTTGATCCTTTAAAATTTCAGACTCTTCTTTGAATTCCAATACTTGTAAATCTTTCTTAAGCTTGTTTCTACTGATCATGTAAAAGTAATTCATCATGCTTTTTCCAATACCTTGAATTTGGCCGTTTTTATCTCATATGAAACCTAGAATCAAGCAAATCATCAAAAGAGTACATGTGAATCACGAATATTTTCACTTACTGCAACTTCTTAGAAAAAATCAAATTGCTTTTGCTTCGCCATATATTTGATCTTTTTTCAGAGATTCCATCAACTTTTCAAAATTAATTTGCCTTAGATCAAAATTATATGGGGTTCAAATTAGCGACTCTAGTGCGAGTCAGAGAATATCGCAATTTCTCTCTTGTAGACTTACCTGAGCTTTGTAATTTAATATTTCAATGATACGACAAATGAGTGAAATATAGATCAGATTGAAACGTCTTGGTGTCTTTTTTGTAGTGATTTTTATTTTAATGAGTCACTTGGTCAATCTTCGACAACTCTAGAAAAAAAAGTCAAGTCTTGCTTCAGCACAACACAGAAAATTGAATTTTCCGATCTTGTCATTTCCGTTTTTTTTTTACAATTCGGACCTGAGTAGCAAACAAATTTGAGGAAATTATAGAGAATCCAGACATATTTCCTCTATTCCCAACATGCTTATGGTGCGAAAAAGGAGAAGAACGGAACTTCTGTATTGACCCTTTTTCCTTGTTCCTTTCTAGATGGCCATGTATTGGGAATATTCGGTAAACAGACAATAAAACCCGGGGCCTAATCATAACTCTTGAGCAATTAAAGCTTGCGATCAGTTATGTCCTCTTCTCTGAATGTTTGCCAACCCGGATTGCAGCATTAGCACACACATACCCCAAGGGCTAATTCCCGAAAGTGCTTTTCCCCATTGTGGGTTAGATGAATGTACTGTACATAAGATAACCCTTGGGATGTGGACAGTGCTTTTTTTTCTTTCCCTCTCAGTTTGCGCACGACTTTCATGGTCTCTGATATTCCATTTTATTATCATGTTTTCAATGCAGTGTATTATTATTATTATTATTGTATATGTGTGCGTTTTTTATAATAGTGAAACTGGGAAGGTGTTGACAACCATGAAAGCAGGGGATTTCTTTGGAGAAATCGGCATCCTAAATCTGGACGGCTTCAACAAGTCAGTAGTTATTTTCATTCAGTTTCATACAATCATCAGTTGAATGAAAAATTATTTTTGATAATAATCTGGCTTCGAGATAAGCCACAAAAAATGTTTAAAATGGGCACTCAGACCAAAAATAATTAGACGACTGTTGAAAAAAAAACTTGAAAGTAAATTCATTTGTTGACTGAAAAATGAGCAATTATTTTCGAAAAATTGTAATACTTGCTTTATTCTTAACAGAAATATGTATATGGGCTTTCATGAAGTTTTTATTTCGCCAGAGGTCGAGTAAATATTATTTCTAACTCAAAATAGAATTTCAAGGTTTTTGCGATAAGTGAAAGATGAAAATCCAATATTCTGCGAGCAGCTCAATTTTTGAAAAGTTGATACTGACTGCCATCAGATTTATTTGTGGCTTGAAAAACACTTTTCGATCATTTTTGAAATTCTTTATTCACAGGAGAACAGCTGATGTGAGATCAGTTGGTTACTCGGAGCTTTTCAGCCTGTCCAGAGAAGATGTTTTGTCAGCCATGAAGGATTATCCAGATGCCAGAGTGAGTATCTTTGTCCTGAAGGTACTTTTCAAGACTTTTTTTTACCATTTAGGGATAATTCAATTGAATCTATTGCAGGAAATTCTGCAAACCCTAGGAAAAAAGAGGTTGATGGAGGCCAAAAAACAAGCAACTCTGTATCAGGCCAAGGGCCAAAATTTGCACCCCAATGCTGAACCAGCTGGTGTGGTGAAGACTCAAGTCCACAGCAAACGATTGTGAGTAAACAACTGTTNGCCATGTATTGGGAATATTCGGTAAACAGACAATAAAACCCGGGGCCTAATCATAACTCTTGAGCAATTAAAGCTTGCGATCAGTTATGTCCTCTTCTCTGAATGTTTGCCAACCCGGATTGCAGCATTAGCACACACATACCCCAAGGGCTAATTCCCGAAAGTGCTTTTCCCCATTGTGGGTTAGATGAATGTACTGTACATAAGATAACCCTTGGGATGTGGACAGTGCTTTTTTTTCTTTCCCTTTCAGTTTGCGCACGATATTCCATTTTATTATCATGTTTTCATTGCAGTGTATTATTATTGTTATTGTTGTATATGTGTGTTTTTGTTATAATAGTGAAACTGGGAAGGTGTTGACAACCATGAAAGCAGGGGATTTCTTTGGAGAAATCGGCATCCTAAATCTGGACGGCTTCAACAAGTCAGTAGTTATTTTCATTCAGTTTCATACAATCATCAGTTGAATGAAAAATTATTTTTGATAATAATCTGGCTTCGAGATAAGCCACAAAAAATGTTTAAAATTTCCTCTGGGCACTCAGACCAAAAATAATTAGACGACTGTTGAAAAAAAACTTGAAAGTATTCATTTGTTGTCTGAAAAATGAGCAATTATTTTCGAAAAATTGTAATACTTGCTTTATTCTTAACAGAAAAATGTCTATGGGCTTTCATGAAGTTTTTATTTCGCCAGAGGTCGAGTAAATATTATTTCTAACTCAACATAGAATTTCAAGGTTTTTGCGATGAGTGAAAAATGAAAATCCAATATTCTGCAAGCAACTCAATTTTTTGAAAAGTTAATACTGACTGCCAGATTTATTCGTGGCTTGAAAAACACTTTTTGATCATTTTTGAAATTATTCATTCACAGGAGAACAGCTGATGTGAGATCAGTTGGTTACTCAGAGCTTTTCAGCCTGTCCAGAGAAGATGTTTTGTCAGCCATGAAGGATTATCCAGATGCCAGAGTGAGTATCTTTGTCCTGAAGGTACTTTTCAAGACTTTTTTTTACCATTTAGGGATAATTCAATTGAATCTATTGCAGGAAATTCTGCAAACCCTAGGAAAAAAGAGGTTGATGGAGGCCAAAAAACAAGCAACTCTGTATCAGGCCAAGGGCCAAAATTTGCACCCCAATGCTGAACCAGCTGGTGTGGTGAAGACTCAAGTCCACAGCAAACGATTGTGAGTAAACAACTGTTTACAAAATATTTCATTTTTTTAATCTACAAAAATATTTATACTATTTTGTCTTGCCAATAGATGTGTGTATAGCTTGCTGTCTTAATGCATAACTCAAACTTCTAGAGGCCTTGATTGTCAGAAATATATTCTTGACAAGAAAGGAAGTAAAGATTCCTCTTGATGGAAATTTATCCAATAGTGCAAGAAGCAATGACTTTGAAGAAGAGTATACCTTAAATCACAACAAGTGAATAAATGAGACTGCTTGATCAGCCGGGCTGCAGCCGGGACTGAAAAGTCCTAGTATAAGATGTTGTATTTTTTGTTGATTGAGCAAGACAATTTCTTACAAGTCCAAAAAGGACAGTAAACAGAGCTTCAGGTTTTGGATTTGGATAGTCAAAAGCAAAATGAACATGCCAGACTCTTGCAAGGTCTGCACGATTTGAAGATCAAGACTCAATTGATTTCTCTGCTGGTTTTCAGCAAACAGGAAGATTATTTCAATGAAGGAAATAATGCCAAAAGAAAGGTCCTTGGTTATCAAGGATTCATTGAAAACAGTTTTTACAAAGGACTGAACAAATCTTTAGAGGAAGATCATGGGAACTTGAGGTCAACTCTTGTCCCACAAGATTCCTTGAGGATTAGCATCTTCTTCCAAACTCAGAAAATCTGATGTTTCTAAATACCTCTTACTTTTATTTTTGCCATTGATAAATGGATTATTTGATGAATGTCAAAAGAATGAAAAAAAGGAGAGGTGCAGCATTCCAACTTCATGAAAGAGTCAAAACTTATTAAATTTCTTCTTGAAGTTGAAAGAATGCTCAACTTGAAGGTAGGGGGTTCATTTGCCCAATCAAGTCTTTTACGTCCTTTTAGAACACATCAATTTCTGTTTTTATTGCTTTTTTCTTTCCTGTGTCAAGAAAATAATTGCCTACAGGCCACAGCAATTTTGATGTATGTTTGTTTCAGGGAAAATTCCTTTTGTATGAATGAATGAATGAACAGAACACTTTATTTGCCGCTTTTCAGTGTTCACAAGGTTCAATCAAGAATTCCCACAACCAAACCCCCTTCCCACCCAACCCAAATCCATCCACTCAATAACATCTTAATCATTTCAGAGCAGGAAAGCACAAATTGATAACAAAAAAATAAAAGAAAATACAATAAAACATGAAATACAACTGGACATCTGACATGTATGCATACACCTTTTGTATAGTTTCTAAGAGGGATTCAGATGGGGACCTGAAAAAAATTCAACTCAAGGCAGTATTCCACTCAGGGAGGTTTTAAGTTATCAAGGTTCACCTGTATGTTCTCTGTTTTAATCTGTCTCCCCCTGTCATCAGGCCTCAAGCAGTGACAGCAGCACTGCTGAAAACAGACAAAAGCGACAGTGACTCCCAACAAACCCCATTCAATAGACACAACATTGTGCAAAGACTTCGCAGCGACGTTCGGGAATGGAAACAGCAACTCATGCAACGCAGTCCCAAGACGTGTCGGAAAGACACTTCCGTTCTAGTTTCCAGCGCAGCTGCCATCAATGGAGCCAAACTCCGAATGTTTCCAGCACCCGGTAGTGGAGGAGGAGGAGACTCCGGCGGGGAAACAAGCAGCAAGATGATTTCAGCAGCACCCGGTATCAACAAAGTCGGGGATTTCAAGATTGGATCGAGTTCGGATGAAAGCGACCCGTTGTTGGTCGCGAGTTCCCAGCAGCAGAGGAAGTTAAACGGGGCGAGAAAGCCTGCTAATTTCAGGAAAAATGGCAGCAGGTTAGTTCACAGCCTTTACACAAATAGATATTTTGAAAAAAAAATTATATACTGTATATATAAATACTGCATGAATAGTTTACCAGATATACTTGATTCCTCTAGTATAAGATGGGTATCCTCAACACGCGCCGGAATTTAAATTTATCTATGAAATGAACCTGGATTAGATCAATTTTCAATTGTTTAAATTTCAAGAAATTTATTTTCCTTGAGTTCGGACAAAACTTTCCCCTTAGATTCTCGTAGAAGGTGCACCTGAATTCCCAAACATTTTTAAAAATTGTAAACCCACCTTCAATGCACACTCGCCAATTTTTCTGTCAATTTTGAGAAAATTTGTTGCAAATCATCTTCAAGTTCTGTACTGTAAATATAGTTGAGTGCCTTTTATTTGATTCCCAGGGGATCAGCCAAAAAAATCAAGCTAAAAAGGTTTGAATAAGGGAAACACGCATTTTTTTAGTGAAAGAAAGAGAGAATTACAGGAGATTTTAATTGATATTCTGGACCTTGTAACCCAGAAAATGATTCAATTTCCCTTTCTCCTTACATGGGAAAGAATCTTTTAACTACAAGGTTTTCTGTTCCTTGCAGCTGTTTCCTTGTCTTTGTTCCCTCTCTACTTGTGTCAACCCGCATTAAAGCATGACGCCCATTTATGCTCATTTTGTTTACAATTTTCTATTTGACAAAAGTGATGTACAACCCTCACTGGTTCTTCCTTCTAACTTGCTAATTTAGAAGGAATGGTTCTTTTGAAATACCATGCATACATTTTCATGCTTATATTTAAATGTACCCCTGGATGTATGTATATACAGTATATTAATTTAGAAGTGTTCCTGGAACCCGCAGTTCCTGATTCTGGATGAGATCCTGTAGTCAGAATGTGTTCTCATGGAGGTATAAATATACCTTTATTCCTGACAATTCCTCAGAATTAATCTAGAGTTCATCCCGGTTATTTCTCAGAGAGACTTGCAAAACAATTTAGCAAGACTCTCTTTTCAAACCTCTTTAGTTTATTGTTTGGTTTGTGTGATTGTACAAATGCC